AATGAACCTACCATTTGACCCAGTTATACCACTTCTTGGCATATACCCAAAGAACTCATCCTATTGCAGAGACACTTGTACATCCATGTTTGTTGCTGCTCTTTTCACAATCGCTAAGAGATGGCAGCAACCTAAGTGTCCCTCAGTTGACGAGTGGATAATGAAAATATGGTTCATTTATATGATGGAGTTTTACTCAGCAGTAAAAAAAGATGAAATCATGAAATTTGCAGGTAAATGGATAAAACTAGTAACTGTTGTACTCGGTGAAGTAATACAGACTCAGAAAAACAAACGACGTATGTTCTCCCTCATATGTGAATCCTAGCACCACTCCTTATATGTAAGTGTGTATCCTGATGTAACTGCAGGAACCAGGATAATGAAAATGTACCAGGGAGGTAAAGGGAAAGAAGGAACGTGAGGGAGAAGAGATGTTACTAAGGGAGAAGAGATGTTACTAAGGGAGAAATGGATTAAATGGGAGTAGTTAAGTGGGAGGGGAGAAGGGAGGTTATACAAGGAATTTGGGGAATAAGGGGAAAGAAGGAGCTCAAGAGAAATGGGCCCATAGGAGACTTGTATTATCAAAGGAAAAATGGGGGAAATTGGGACACTTTAAATGGGGAAGTCATGGTGAAAGGGTTAGGCAGGGAGAGAGAGAGAGACAGAGAGAGACGGAGAGAGAAAGAGAAAGAAAGAGAGAAGGGGGAGAGAGAGATAGACAGAGAGGAGAGAGAAATGATGTCCAGCTAGTGTTAAAAAAAGATGGAATCATATCAGTCCAACCACCTAATGACAAATTACATGCAAAATATCTTTACATGAGTCCATGTGTATAGCTAAAGGCTACATAACAAGAAACAGTGCCAAACAGGAGAAAACTTCCTTTGAGTTGTTGGCCAGGGTGGTTCAAGAGACTCCGAAAATTACATAGGCTATTGCCACAACCCTTGACTGTCTCCCAGAACTTGAAGGTAAGACCCTATTGCTGAAGTCAGAACATACTTCAGACACAGGATTTGCAGTAAAGGAGCTGGAACTGACCTGGAAACCACTTTTCCTGAAGGCTAGCTCTTAAAGCTTTGGAAAGCACTACTCAAGGTGCTAAGGGTTAGAACATCAATTGATGGTCCAACACCAGCTTCAAGACCAAATAAGCACATTAATGACCAGCACAGCATACAACATTGGTGTGGTAGTGGCACTTTTGCCTTGAGGGCAATCAACAACTACTTAATTAGACTAAAAACTCACTCAATGGGAGGAAACTCTAGTGTGGTACTGTAAACATAACCAAATACTCTTGGCTAGAAAGGTCATAGATCTTAGACAAAACCCCAAGATTGTCACATCCCTAGACTAAAGTAATTTCTTACTATGTGAAAAGTATGTGTCCTTATATTTACAAATATCCCAGTCATCACTCATCAAAGAAGTTTCTTTTGCACCAGACAGAGACTATTACAGAGTACCACTACAGGTCACATACAGATATTGTCTGTGAATTGCCCAAGCCTAAGTGGCACATCCACACTACAACCTCTACACTTAAGGCTCACATAACATAAAACAAGAGATAAAGAGGGCACTAATGACTATCTCGATTCTCATTAATGAAGTTTCCTCATGCAATAGAAGGCCAGGAACACAAAAGATCACAAATGGCCAAAGTGTAAAGATTAAAAGAGTCTGCAGAATGATGGACCTTAGACAGGACCCTTATATTAAACTTCACCCACTCAGGACTCAGGGACCATTGCAGAAGAGGAGGTCGAAAGATTGTAAGAGCCAGGGAGAAGGTGCATGACCATATGGACTATATAGGGTAAAGTGAAATAAACCTTTTCCTCCCCCGAGTTTGGTTTTGGTCTGTGTTTTATCACAGCAACAGAAAGAAACTAGAGCCTGTACCCTCTTGATCCTTATTCCACCCCTTTGTCCTTCCCAGATTCCTCAGGCCTATGCCTCCACACCCTCATCACCATCCTTACCTACATCACATCTGCTGTGCTCCACAAGTACTGCTAGAAAATCTAAAAGTCTGTGCACGTATGTAAGGTCAAATTTACTTCTGGGAGGCCCGCATTGAATGCACTCTTGGCTCCTAGGCCCCATGCTGTCCTTACGACCCACCAACCAAACCAGCCAACACAATGGTTTTCCAAATTACAGTTTATGGAATAAAGAATTTATTCGGGCTTGCCAACAGAACTATGACAGTGCAGAGGGGTTACTTACAAAGGCGTGGACACCCATGGGCTTTCTTCTCTACATCTTAGCTGAGCTTTCCAGATCCATGACCTCTGGCCCTCTGACCCAAAATAGCAAAGCACCTGCCTCCTCCCTGGCCTCTTCAGTGTTTATCCTTAGACCCTCCTCCTCATGTAATTGAAGCTGAAGGATTGGGTGGGAGGGGTGACTGTCTCCTTCCCTTTCCATGGAGCCTCTTATGGTTCAGACATCCAACTGTTGCTAGTCCTTTTTGGAGGACATGTCTATCCAACAATGTACACGGAGGAGAGTCAGGGTCAGCAGTAAGGTGTTGGCACCTTTAGAAGTTGTGAAAGAACATAAGTGCAAAATTTTCTTTGTTCTTCCATCCTAGTTAAGCGAGAATATATCAGCCATCAATATTTCTAGGCCCTCCAACCACAATGGACCTTTAGAATATAAGAGAGGTGTGGTTTTTCTCTAGTCCTACATATATATCATCCCTCATCTCACTCCTCCCCCTTACCCCAGTCACACCCTCTTACCTCCCTCTACCCAACACCATCCCACTTTCTGTTTTCCTCTGAGTAATGCTTCAAAATCAAAAGGTTAGGTAAGGTTAGATTAGATTAGGTTAGATTAGATTAAATTAGATTAGATTAGATTAGATTAGATTAGATTAGATTAGATTAGATTAGATTTGATGGTTTGGTTTGGAAGAAGAATCAAGCTCTCCAGTGAGGGCTTGACCCTGTGGAAGGAAGACTATAGAAACAAACCTTTACACACAGAAAAATACTAACTAGGCACTCAGTAGTTAAGAGGGTACACTGCTCCTGCAGAGGACCTGAGTTTGATTCCCTGCACCCATATCAGGCAGTTCACAATATCCTTTATCTCCTTCTCCAGGAGAACAATAGCGAACACTTACGCACATGTATACATACCCACACAGAGACACACATACAAAAACATAGAAAATTTAAAAATTATTAGCTAGATCACATTTTCTAGTGTTTCTAACATAGCTGAAGAACCTAAGTTTCAGTATTTCTTGGTCCTTCAGTGAAGATGGCCTTTTAAGACACTTCAGAGGTCTGACATTCTCTAGTCCTATAGTCCCCAGCTGGCCCCAGCACAGGCATTTTCCTCCCTCCCCTTTCCCCACCAGTTTAGCCCCATCCCACTCTATGTGCTCTCCAAGTACCACAAGGAAATGTAATGGTCTGTACCAGTAGATTTGGAAGGAGAGTTAAGTTCCCCAGTGAAGTCTTAACACCTTTATAAGGTAAGATCCAGTACCTGACCCAGTAAAGGAAGAGTATAAGACTGCCTTCCCTCCCAAATAGTAACTAGATCACAGACATTTTCTCTGTGCTCCCATCCTAGTTGTGGGACAATCAAGGAGCAAATGTTTTCCAGGTATTCCAATGACTATATAGACCTTTAGGGTCCACAGAGATATTGACATTCTCTTCCCATAAACTGCCACTCCCTACCTTGTCTTCCCCATACTAACCCTCTTTGCTATCCCCACCACCTGCAGTCCACTGACTCAGAGCCAACCTTCTCTGCTCTACTGTACTGCAGCCTGTACAGGTTGGTTGAGAATGTGTCAAGCTCCCCAGCAGGGTCTTACCACCCTTATAAGGTAAGGTGTTTCAGTACCTAGCACAGTGAAAGGAATAGCATAAGAGTGACTGCCCCTCTTCAAATAAAATATTAGCTACATCACAGAAATTTCTTAGCTCTTCTATATTAACTGAAGGAAAATGTGTGTGCCAGTATTTTCTATGCCCTCAGAGAACGGTGGCCTTCAGCATGCAATAGAGGTATGACATCCTCTCTTCCTATATCACACTACCCCCCACCACCACACCATCCCACTCTCGAGTCTCCCGGGTCTACACCCCACCACACACCTCACTCTTCAGCTTCTTAATCCTACTGCCCACCCCTGACCTTCTGTCCTTTTCAAGGTAAGGAATTCCAGTATCTCACACAGTGAAAGGAAGACTAGGAGTGACTCTCATGACCTAGTGTTAACTACATCACAGATACTTGTTTAATGTTTCCATCCTAGCTGGGAGAGAAGCTAGACACCAGTGTTTTCTAGGCCCTCAGAGGAGGATGGTAGTGTTTAGAGTACTATATTGGTGTGACATTCTCACATGCCCACGAAACCCCTGCTTACCCGCATCCTACTTCCTCACCCACAAACCTCACCTTTTGCCATACACATCTTCCTACCAACACCGCCGCCCACTGACTCCCACCTAGCCCATTCTACACAAGAAGGGGGGGATGTCTACAAGAGTGGACTGGAAAAGACAAGTTCCATGGTGAAATCTTGCCACAGTTATAAAATACGGAGGACCAGCACCTGATTCAGTGAAAGAAAGTATATAGAGCCTCCTACAATGTTAAGTAGATCACAGAGGTTTTCTTAATACTTCGATCCTAACTGAGAGAAAACTTCGGTGCAAATGTTTTCTAAAGCCTCTAAGGAAGGTAGGCCATTAGGACAGAGGCGTGACAATCTCTGGCTCTACTCACCACCAGCAAACCCAGGGCTTTCTAGACTCGGCTCCCTTACCCTGGCCACACCCCAACTCCACCCTCCACCACATCACAAATGTGTATTTGAAAGGCTGTGATGAAAACTTGACGCTCTGGGCCAAGTCTTCAGACCTTTATTCACTCCACTCACCTAGACTTGGGTATCAGTTCTTCCAGCAGATCTCCCTCCACCCTGTTCGGAATTTCAGAAACGTTATTTCACAGCTATGTCTGAAGAGCAGTAAGCAAAGTTGTCTGATGCAGAATGTACTTCAAGGGGGCTCCCGGAGTTCGAAGATGAAGAACGCTGGTTTTTCAAAGGTAAAGACCTACTTTCTATCACTATCGTAAGGAGGAAGGGCTATCCCCCTTTGGTCATCAGTTCAGAGATGTTCAAACTGTTTCTTTCAAAGTCCCCAGAAGCAAAGAGGAAACCACCTCTTATCTCCCCAGGCTTTTTGTTTCTCATGCCACCTCTCCCCTCATTTCTAAGTAATGTCCCTTTTTGCCATGCTGGGATCCCCAGTTTTCTACAAAACTGTAAAACTAAATCAATAATTCTCTGTAACCAAAGGCAGCCAGAATGATAAACAATATGGCCATTTTTAAGCATAAATCAGCATTCCATTCTAAACAGGTGGAGACTGTTGAAAAGGAGAATTGTTACACAAGACTAGATTGTTCCAGTATGAACTGACAGTTTCCCTTTCTGTTTTTCTCCTCTTATGTGGGTATTGCTCCTAGAGCAAACTGAACAACCTACTCAACAAGCCTGATAAATCGACACATTTAACATAACTTTGGATTCTTTTCTTTTTTACCTTAAGAAAGTAGCTTAACCTTCCCACACAACAGTCTCATCTTCCACAAAATCAGTGTATTCCTGCTTCATTACCTCCTAGAACATGCAATGATAAATGTGAAGATGTCTTCAAAGTCCTTTGACCTTTAGCACATTAAATATACATGCTTTATTTGCATTTTGGTTTATATATTTACTAATCCTCATTTTATTTTGTTCTTGTTTCTTTCACAGTGCTGGGCATCAAACCCAGGGCCTCCTCTACACTAGGCAAGTATAATACCTCTGAGCTCACCCCAAACCCCCACACTTTTCCCTGGTATTTCTGTTTTTATTGTTGCTGTTTCCTTCCTTTCTTCCTTCATTTCTTCTTGCCTTCCTTCTGTCCTTCCTTTCTTTCCCAGTCTAGGCCTTTTCATTTTATATCTCTGACAAACCATGAATTCCTAGAGAATGAGCTTCAGCAGCTCTGGTTTCTTTCCCTTGGTTTTCACAAAGGTGCTTCTCTGGGTGGAGCAGGCTGGCCCTTCAGAAGAACCAAGGCACCTTTCCTCCTAGCATACTGCTTTTCCAGACCATTTTCCTTCACCCATTTCAAGAAATTATCTTTGTTCTTAGAGTGAGCTTGATAGGCTTGATATGCAAATTAATTCTCTTTGCAAGAATCTTGCTCAAAACTTGCATGCTGAGTGATACTGTAGACTCTTCCTGTTTTAGCAAGGTGCCATTTATGGGGCATTCCTTTCTGAACAGCACCCATTCCCTTGATGTTGACAATATCACCCTTTTGTAGATTCACATATATGTGGCCAAAGGAACAACCCAATGTTTCCTAAAATGTCTAGAGAACATGTTATCAGGATCCTCTTCTCCTTTTGCCTTTGTTTGTCATTTTTGGTGAATCACTGGAAGATAGTGGTTTTAACTAAAAGGCTGGTTTTGTTTCTTTAGGCAGTTTACTGCTATATAGTCTAGGCTGACCTAGAGCTCACTACATAGCTCATGGAGGCCTCAAACTTAAATAATCCTGCCTCAGCCTCCTGAGTCCTGGGGTTACATGCTTATGTCACCACACTGGCTTTTACCCTGTGGTGTATTTTTATTTTTAAACATTTAAACCCCAAATGCTTTGGGAGAAAACAAATTCTAGAATCTTAGAATAGTAAAACATCTCAGCACATTTTAAAAGTAGCGAAGGAGGAAAAAGTATTAATATATTGTCTTCCCTCTTATCTCTTCATTAGTTTAAAGGAGACAATAGCACCATAGGCCCTAATTCCAAAATAGAGTAATGTTACTGCTTCTCCTCCAACTAGTCTGTAAGTTGTGAACAAAATGTTGGCTATGCTTTGGTACAGTGACATCATTGTTCTGCTTGTTAGGGTTTCCTGCCACTAGCCAATTGAGTGCAAGAGGTGCAACTACCCCCTCCGTCTCTTTCCCACTGTCCTCTGTTTTTCGTTTGCGTTTTCACATTTTGTTTTTCATGATTACAGATAACACTGGTAAGCAGGAGGACGACTCATTGGGGTAAGTTGGGCAACATTTTATTCACATTAACAATTGCCACCTTTGTGATGACAAAGCTGATTCCAATCCAAATGAACAAGAAGTACATCACAGATGATCTTGCTATATGTTTTGATGAACTGTGCAGAAGTGTACCCTGCTATGGTGCATTCTAGAGCAGTAGCCAGTAAGTTATCATGCTTACTTTTCCAACCTTTGGAGCCTTTGGACTTCTCACTGACTGAAACTAGTAATGTGATCATTTTTTCTGTCTCAAGAAAAAAAGTGCTGCTACAACAAGAAAAACTTTCTTTAGGATCTTAATGTCTCCTGTTGTTCTGCAGCCTTGGTTATGGAATAACCATGGTGGATAACAATTCTGCTTTGCACTTGGTTTTCAGCCAAGATTCTCCCAAGGCCAGGTGCATCAGAGTTGCTAACACTAGTGAATGAACCACAATGTATTCTATCTCAGAGAACTGAGAACTGAGTTCCCAGAAATTCAAGGAGAAAATGTTTTCAATTTGGCTATCTCTCAGAGCCCATTTATTTACTAAGGAGATCAGAGTGTAAGAGTGTAAGAACAACCATTCCTGCTTACACACATTTTCTATTGTGGCTGGTTTATGGTCATAATCTTAGTATAGTTCAAATAATTACCACTGGCAAATCTCTTTCTATTATGAATATTGGGAATCAAAATTAGGCTAGTAATTGTGGTCTGAACCAAAAAGTAAAAGAAACTTGGTAAAAAAAAATCCAAAACTGAAACTTTGTAAAGGTAACTATAAGGCCAAATAACATGTTTAGAAAGCAAAATTCATATATTAAGTGAAGCAGTTGCAGTTACAATTTTTTGAAGCAGTTGAACTAGAACAAGTACCTGGCTATAGAACTATGACGAAGACAAATTCATCTCAGTTTCAGTTTCTCAATATATCAAATGAAGAAGTTGGTCTAGGTGACTCTTAATATAACCTCCTGTTTCAATATTCTTTTCTGCTCAAAACATTTTCAGAATTCCATCATAGTTCTTCAGTCATTTGTTTTTTGCTCCTGGATTGCCCTTTAAAAACAGAATACTACTTGAGTTTCTGTTTTGAGTTACATACAGTCTGGTGCTGAGAGCAATAACTCTCAGGAGTGTTTATTGTTATGTCACTTTTCTCTAGCCATGCAGTCATTTTTCTACCTGAATGATGTTCTTCAAGAGGACAAAGTAAGCAGCACCGATGATCATGACACTTGTCATACTGTAAGTGGGGCAATGAAGATGGATAATCACCAACATGGGAGAACCCATAAAATATGGCAAATGGCCAAAGGGAAGACTTCTAAGAACACTAGAATATATGTGGTGTTAGGATAATGATGTCCACTGAAAACTGAACTGCACTGAGAATGTGTATTTAACTCATGATCAAGTTTTTTCTCACATAAATTCCTGTTAGAGCTTTAAAGCAGAGATAGATAGATGGACAGATTATTACTGACAGAGAATTCACTTCTTTCTTGTTTTTTCCCTGACTTTTTGTGGAAATATTTTTAGAAGCAAGAAAAGGAGAAGATCTATACATTCAAGTAAAATAGCCTTTTGAAAATTGGGCTTTAAATATGTTCAGACATGTTCAAATTGTTTAGAGTTTAATCACAGGAACTATTATATAATCATATTGCATTTGAATTGCTTATAATAATTGTGGTGTCTGATTAAGTGATTTTTTATTGGTGGTGAATTAATTATCTCCCAAGGAAACCTATCAAATCTTCAAATAGCTCTGCTATTAGAAATTTTCTACTTGTGCTTAGAGAGCTGTCTTGATATACTTTTTAACCATTTATTCTAGCTCAATTCCTCTGAACCATTAATATAATGAATCTAATGTTGCTTCCTCATGATAGGCCTTCAAACTCTTGAAGACAGTGATTCTTCTGCCCACTATCATGCTAGGCCTAAATCCTCTCTCTGTAGGATGAGACAAATTGTCCCAATTTCTCACGTGACTTGATTTAGAGTCCCCACACCAGTCTCATTCTGTGAATTTTGTTTGGAAATCTTTTAATGTGTGACATTCCAAAATGAATGCAGTCTTCCAGAAGCTGCCTGACTGAAACACAGTGAAGTCAGAATGCCAGCTACTCATTCTGCATACCATTTCATTAGTTCAGCCAAGGATAAATCTTCTATTTGTGCATTCAAACTTTACAGTCTATTCATGTTGGATAATACCAAGTAAAATTCTTAAGATATATACTAAATAGAATAGATAACCTTTTTAACATATATAACTGCTTTTATGCTAAGCATGTGCATCTCTACTAAATTTCATACTGTAAAATTGGGTCCATTCAGAACTGGGGAAATGGACAGAAGATCCCAATCTTAGCCGAAGAATTATTGGCAACTGATTACTGTTGGGTGAGGAAGAGCTGCTCTTCCTAAAGTGAGCGATTCTAGATAGGCTAATTAGACCTCAGTAGAAGAACTTGCACTGTTGAACATCTCGGGGCACTAACTTGACACAACAGGCTTTAACACAAGTGACAGAGTGTATGAATTGCAGCGGGGTGACTATGGGAGGGTGCCAGTGGGGAAGGGAGTATAAAGATGATTAAGATTGATTGAGATGTTCTGTATGAAATACACAAAAATTCAATTAAAAAAATTTTAAATGGGTATATTAGAAACCAGCAAGACTATCTGATTATTATCAAATTAGACATAGCTTCTCACATTTGACACATAAAAATTGTATGTGTTTATTTAAGATACATAACATGTTGAGTGTCAGGTAGGTGGTTCAGTGGGTAAACGTGCTAGCAATGCAAACCTCACAACCCAAGTTTGATCCCAAGACCCTGTATAGAATGGAACTGGCAAGATAACTCAGTGGGTTAAGGCACTTGCAACCAAGCTTGATGACCTGAGTTCAATTCCTAGGATCCACATGGTGAAATGAGAGAACTGACTTCCATGTTATTCTCTGACTTCCACATGAACACCTAAGACATACACAATAAATAAACAAATAAATAAATGAATTTTTTAATGTTCAGAAAAAAAGATGGATGTGGTAGTGTAATCCCCATACTCCTATGGTGAGATGGGAAGCAGAGACAGTAGAATGGCCTGGAAGCTTGTATGCCAGCTAGCCTGGAGTATGCAGCATAAAAATAGAGATCCTGCCTCAACAAGTTGGAAGGTGAGAACCAACTGTCCAAAGTTGTCCTCTGAGCTAGACATGCTGCTATGGCCTGTCTCCCTCTCTCTCCCTCCCCCTCTACCATCCCTCTCTCACACACACAACTTAAAATTTTAAGCAAAGGGCCTGCCATATTGTTCAGTGGATAAAGGTACCTGGTGCTAAGCCCACATGGTAGAAGGAGAGAACTGACTGACTGTCTGTGACTCTGTTCAAACACTGTGTATGTGGACACACAAAATAAAAATTTTTGAAACACACACAAAAAATGTAAATTTAACATGTTGATTAGATACATATTATGCAACAACTTTATCTTATCATATGATGTATACTGTGTTTATTGGTTTCTGCATCTTGAACTATTCTTGCATTGGAAGGACAGGTTGTACTTGGTTAGAGTAGATAATATTTTTCTTGTATGTACCTTTTAATACTCTGTTGCATTTGGTGTCTGGTATTTTCTTGAAATTTTTCCACATCTCTCTTGATCAGTAATTTTGGCCTATAGCTTTATTTTTTTTTCAGTATCCTAATCTGTTCAAACAAGAGTAACCCTGGCATCACCAAATCAGCTGGAAGTATTCCTTCCTCTTAGAAGTTAATTCTTTAAATGCTTAGTAGAGTGCACCTGTGAAACACATCTGGTCTTGAGTGTTCCCTTGTTGAGAGTTTTTGGTTACTACTTCATCTGACTTGCTATTGGTTTGTCTGATTTACTATTTCTTCATGACTTAGTTTTAATACACTGTATATTTCTAGGAATTTATCCATCTTTTCTAGGTCATCCAATTTGTTACCATATAATTTTTCATAGTATCATGATCCTTTTTATTGTATTATATTATTGTAAGGACTTATCTTTCATTTATAGTTTTAGGTATCTGATTCCTTTGTCTCTTTTTCTTGTTTTTTGATTGATTTTATTTTTATTTTTGAGACAGGGTCACACTGTGTAAACCCTGGTTGACCTCAAACTCAGAGATTCCCCCTGCCCTGGCTTCTCAAGTGACAGGACTAATGGTGTTGTACCACCACGCCTTAAGCCTTGAGTCTGTCTTGTTTTCTCAATATAGCAAAAGTTTTGTCAGTGTAAAAAAAAAAAAAATTCTTCCATTGATTTTTTTCCAGTGGCCTTTCTAGTCTCTATTTCATTTACTTCTACCCTAATATCTTTTGTTTCCTATTTTGTGCTAACTTTGGCCTGAGAAGATCTGGAACCAAGTCACAGGGTTGCTTCAAGGTCCATGTATGTGAGTGAAATTAACAAGCCTCACTCTGGAGACATGTACAGGCATGACTTTTCTGGGTTCCTAGGTGAACAGAACTACACTTCATTGCAATTGAGCAAACCTAGATCTGGCTCATAGGGCTACTTTAGGGTCCACAGTCAAACCATAGTTGGTAGCCCCACCTTGTAGATTTACAGATGCACATGTTACTCAGTACAATTCCAAGTTAGCAAGACTTTCCTGGACCACGGATGAGAAGAAATAGAACTGAAATGCGGTGCTGTTCCATGACCCACAGTCAAACCATGCCTGACATACCTGTCTATGACACAAAGATTGATGTGCTTATGGGTAGATCACTGTACAGGCAGGACCACAGCCAGACCATGGCTGAAATAAAAGACAATTTCAATATGTGCTGTAGGACTTGGTTCAACAAACTTGCCTCCAAAGGCAAGTATGGACATAATTCCAGTATGCCCCCATGAATCCAGAAAAGTTGCCAAACAAGTGAGGGGGTTTGGTGTCAGTTCATGGACCCTTTCAGGGTCCACATCCAGGACCAATGCCACCAGGCCTGTTACTCAAGACATAAATGGGCTTATCTCTTTTTGAGTTCCTTGTCAGATGAATTTAATGGCTGGACCAAGGCCAAACAGGAGTTGCTGAGTCCATGGGGGCAGGACTGTCTCAAGGTCTGTAGCCAGGACTATGATCAGCAAGCCTACCACCTAGACACAGGCCTGCTTTCTTGTAATAGTCTTCCTTGATCTTGGAGTACACCAGGCTTTCATAACCTACTATTTGGACTTCAAAGTGTCCATAAAGCCACTTTTGTCTGTGAATGGCTGCCTAATTATTGTGAAGAGTTATGAGTCAGGTACCTCCTATCATTTTGTTCTTATATGGTTTCTTAGCTGTGTTGAGCATGTTTATTATTTCTTTGTAAAAGTCACTGGTTCAGATTTTAAAAAGAAAAGGTTTGGGAAAAATAAGGCTCAATACAGTACCACAAAATATAAATAGAACCATTCTTACATCTTTGCATGGTTTCTTTAACTGGATCATCTGACTATTTATGTATTCATTGGTTTATTTGATTGTGGTCTCATTATATACCCCTGGCTGGTCTAGAATTCTCTATGTAGACCAGGCTGGCATAAAACTTGTAGCAGTCTTCCTGCTTTCCAAACACTAGGATTATAGGTATATGCCACCATACTTGGATATAACCAGGTCACTTTATATAGTGGACTCCAAGCAGTTATAAACCTACTTAATGTGATGCCATCCCTCCTGTGTATCGCCATCTTGTTTAAAAAGATAGGGCTGGGGATGTAGCTCAGTTAGTAGAGTGACTGACCAGCATGTACAAAGTCCCAAGTTCAATACTCAGCACCACACAAACCAGGCATGGTGGCACATGACCATAATCCCAGAATTTAGAAAGCAGAGGCAGGAAAACAAGGAATTCAAGATGATCCTTGGCTATATACTGAGTTTGAGGCTAGCCTGGGCTGCATGAATCCCTATCTTAAAAAAAAAAAAAAAAAAAAAAAAAAAAAAAACAATGAAAGACCACAGCAAATGTTTTATTCAGATTGAAATATGATTCAGTTCACATCAGTTACTTCACAAGAATATAAACATGCCAAAAAAGAAAAAAGAGAATGTAATTAGTCTGATATTGCTGGAGATTTTTGTTTTTTTAAAATCTCATACTGAGGCCTAGTATTTCTAAGTACTCAAGACCAAATAATTTTAATAAGATTTTATGGTGAGACTTGTATAAAAGGTACTGTTATTTTTATTTGAGAAATCTCTGTTCTGTGTGTTATACAGATATAATTGGTTTACAGCATTCAGCACCACAATGTTCTGCAAATTTACTCTAATCACTAAATTAGTAAACACTGAACCTGTATGCCTAGTATAAATAGAAGGTTAGGTTTTTGTGAGCCTCTGTTCACATTTGTAACAACCAATCAAGACATAACTGTGATTTGTGTGTATGTTTCTGTTTAAAGTCCCTTTATTTAAGTATATTGTCGATTCTTTGACACTAAATGCTTGACCAAAGGCAATACAACTCACACCTGAACAAAGTTTATCTAACACACATTTTCTCCATAAGGCACAGCACAGCCTTTGTGTACTTAGACACACTAGACAGAATTTTTGCACTAACCTCAGGGGTGACCAACAAAAGAGCATAAATGTGAAAACTGACATTAGATAGACAATGCAGAGGATATGTGCTTAAAGTATGAGAGTTGAAAAGACAGCAGAGGATCACTTAGTTTAAACTCAACTGAGAAAGTGCACAAGAGGTAACAAATTTTTTGCCACTCTACATGTGCCTTCAAATGACCAAAAATGCACTGAACGTATTGGTTTGGGTATTACAACTAATTTTTAGTAAGTTGGTGAATTTGAAAGTATGGAATATGAGGATTTACTATCAAGTTAATGATTTTTTTTCAAGTAGCTGCAATGTGCCTATCCTGAAGCCAGGGCAGTAGCATGGAAGAGCTAAGTTGGATGAGACATAGATGCATATAATCCTTTTTTAAGATGGGGAGTTTGTGGTAGGGATGTAAGGAGGATAGACAAGAGACAGAATTTCATTCTGTAGCCCATGGTCCTAGAACTCACTATGCAGTACAGGCTGGCCTTGAACTCATAATCCTCTCACCTCCACCTCACCAGTGCTGGGATTGCACATGTGCACCACCACACTCAAGACTTCTCTTTGAGGTTTTCAAAGAAAGAAAAAAGCTGCCAGAAATAGTAAAAGTGAATTAAGGATTATAGTCAACAACCAGAGCCACTAAAATATTCTAGAACCAACTCTCAAACCTCTTCAGGGTATCTGGTGGCTTTATTAATGTGTGAAAGCTACCAACTACTGCACGCAAAACCTATTTCCCAAAGTTATCAAGGCTCTTACCTAATGACCTTGATGTGGAAGAGGGGCAATGGACAGGTTATGAGGTAAAGCTGTTTACTAAGCTTTGTCTCAACTTTATTTTCATCACTTAAGACTGCAAGGGGCTGGAGAGTTGACTCAGCAGTTAAGTACTGCTGTTGCAGAGATCTCAAGTTCAGTTCCCAGTACTCAAATCAGGAGGCTCACAACCACCCTTAACTCTATCTCCAATGGGTCCAACACCACTGGCCTCCTTGAGCACCTGCTGAAAGTTCTAACTTATTTGCATTTTAATTTTCCTTTGTGTCGTTATCACTACATAGATATGCACTAAAGAAGATGATGAGACCAGCCACAGTGATAGTGACACTAAAGATAATGTGAAGGTCATCATTGGCACAATAAAAACAAACCCCTCCATCTATATGTGTGTAACCAAGGATACTCCTTGGGTTATGGAGTATCCAGGGAGGATAAATGCAGTAGGAGTTCTCTCTCTATTATCTATTCTTAGAGTGGTAGGAGGACAATTAAGTGAGTAGTGATAATTGTTATCCCCTAAACTAGTTGCAATATGCTGTTACAGCATTTTGGGTTGTTTAGTTTTCATTTACTTTGTTTTATGTTGTACCTTTCCTCACAAGTAATTTTGATTAATTATTCAGGATCCTGTTGATATGAGCACGACTGTCACATTTTGTCAAAAATCTGAGGGTTCAAAAAGTGAGAGAAACCATGGGTCTATTACTAACAAAACAGCTTCTCTTAAATACAACCTGTGTTCTAGAAAAAAAACTTCAATGCAGGGATGGGGAGATGGCTCAGTGGTTAAGAACACTGACTGTTCTTGCAGAAGACCCAGGTTCAAATCCCAGCACCCACATAGCAGCTAACAACTGTCCTTAACTCCAGTTCCAGGGGATTAGACAGCCTCCTCTGTCCTCTGCAGGCATTGCACAACATGGGTGCACTTACCTTCATGCAGGGAATACATGCATATACATAAAATAAAAATAATTAAAAAAAAAACTTCAGTGCTCAGTTCAATTATCTACCGTTAGTTTGCTGAGTGATGGTTGAGGGGCATCTGAAACCTGTTTTCTTCCTTTAAAAAAAATGTTTAAATGTTTTAATTTTGTTCAAAATTCCCTTTTGTTTAGGAAATTCAGTGGTTTGGCTACTACTTAAGAAACAACAGAAACAGCAGTTATAGGAAAACCTTTATCAGAACCTTCAGTTCTTTGGTCATTTTTAAAATTTTTATTTATTATTTTTATTTTTTGTGTATGAGTGTTTTGCCTGAATGTGTATAAGTGTACCACGTGCATGCAATGCCCTGCAGAGGCCAGAAGAAGATGTTGGACCCCCTGGAACTGGAGTTACAGATAGTTAGATATCATGTGGGTGCTGGGAACCAAACTGTGGTCTTCTGGAAGAACAGCAAGTGTTTTTAACTGCTGAGTCATCACTCCAGCCCCTCTTTGGTCTTTTCTATCATATATATGTCTCCTTTATCATTGAAGTTAAAAAGAAATCATCTCTCTTAGTTCAAAGACAATCTATTGTAAAGTTAAGAACAGAATCCTGTTGGGAGCTGCTAATCTATTATGTGCATTGAGCTGTGGCAGCCTTGTTTACTGAGTTTGAGTTATACATACCAGTACTTAATCTGCCTATTCAGGAGGGATGTGTTTATGTGGAGAACCTCACAATACCTGACCTGGAGGCAATAGTGGTGAACAAAAGGATCAAAGAAGCCTTTGATCTGACCACTCCTTGACCCTCAGATACAGGTGGGGAAAAACAGCTGTTGAAACTAATTGAGTTCTTCCCTATAAAAAGGCAGAGGTGAAATAAACCGGGGCTGAAGGCACTACTGTCAGCCGTCCCAAGCATCTTTTCTGTCTCTTATTTTTCTTTCAATCCTCACTCCCCCTTTCAGGTACTGTCCATCTTGGCCGGCTGGCACTGGCAAGTGGCACCCAGAACAGGGACCTGAAAAGTAGGGGAAAAAGTGAAGGACACCGCTGGAGAAGTTAAGTGAGTGCACTCGGTACAATTGGGGAGCGGCGAGTATTTATCTTGGGAGAAGATGGGGCAAGGAAACAGTCGCTCAGTTTTTGTAAGGAATATGCTTGGGGCCTGAGGAGCAAAGGCTGAGACTAAAGAGGAGAATCTGACAAGCCATGGCTGGGATAAAAGTGAAACAAACCTTCTGCTCCACCGGAGCCAGATCCACTCTTTTATGAGGACCCTCGTCTGGGGCTAGAAGAGGGATCTCTTGACTCTGAGGATGAGTCTGCCTTAGGAGAGGAGATGGTTGAGTATGATCAGGAGAAGTGTCCACCTATAATTGCTTTGCCTGATCACTGGGAAATTAAGCAATTAAGGACAGAGTTAGATGCTGCCGTCTGGGGCTAGAAGAGGGATCTCTTGACCCTGAGGATGAGTCTGCCCTAGGAGAGGAGACAGTTGAGTATGATCAGGAGAAGTGTCCACCTTTAATTGCTTTGCCTGATCACTGGGAAATTAAGCAATTAAGGACAGAGTTAGACACTGTGAACCTGCTTAGAACCATGCAATCTCCACTACAACAGGCCATTGGGGCCGTGGTAGAGCGAGGAGAGTCAGTGCATGGATTTCAGGTCTTCCCAGTTTCTGAGCAAGTTGATCAGCAGGGCAACAGGGTGCAGTCTCATGCACCTGTGCCTTTTAAGCAGCTTAAGGAACTAAAGACTGCTTGTGCTCAGTATGGTCCCACTGCCACTTTTACTCTGGCTTTGTTAGAATCCCTGTCCATGGATGCGCTTCCTCCTGGAGATTGGAAACACATGGCACGTGCTTGCCTTTCAGGGGGAGATTATCTGTTGTGGAAATCTGAGTATGAGGAACAGTGCCAGGTGACAGTGAATACCAACAGAGCACAAAATATACCCATAGATTTTGATATGTTAGCTGGTGAAGGACAATATAGGGATATTGTTCAGCAGTTGCAGTATGATGTTACGGCCTATGCGCAGATCAGTGCTGCAGCCCGAAGAGCCTGGTATAAACTGCCGTCTAGTGGTAGGCAGACTGAGGATTTGTCTAAAATCAGGCAAGGTCCGGATGAGCCATATCAGGATTTCGTGGCTAGACTACTGCAAACTGCCGGTCACTTGCTGGGGGATAGTGAAGCAGGTTTACTTCCTCAAACACAAATTGTTCCTCATTATGGGGTTAATCCTAGAGGGCTGAAGCCTAACCAATTGTGGCAAATGGACATTACTCATGTTGCAGATTTTGGCAGGCAAAGGTATGTACATGTTACAATAGATATATTTTCTGGCTTTATTATGGCTACTGCGCAAACAGGGGAAGCCACAAAAAATGTTATAACTCATTGCTTGACTTGCTTTTCCATAGCTGGGATCCCTAACATTATAAAAACAGATAATGGCTCTGGCTATACCAGTCAGGGGTTCCAACATTTCTGTTTGTAATTGGGCATTGAGCATAAAACTGGGATACCGTATAACCCACAAGGACATCATACTCTTTTCATTTTAAACTTTTTGAATTTGGATAAAAATGACCGCTCTGTGGCAGATAGAATGTGGCATCCTCAGTCACAGGATACCTACGCCCAAGTCAGGTGGAAGGATCCTTTAACTGGACAATGGAATGGCCCCGACCCTGTATTGGTTTGGGGAAGAGGGCATGTTTGTGTTTTTCCACAGGGCGCTGATGGAGCCAGGTGGCTGCCAGAAAGGCTGGTGAGGTTTGC